TTTGTGTACACATTTTTATCCATGCCCTCCATCTTTGTTTAAAGATGTACCTATGGATCTAGCAGGTCAGGGTGAGATGGGCATGATAATTTTTTAGACATGGGCGGGATGCTGTAGTAAACCCTGCCCCAACACCAACCCATTTTCTAGACATGGGTTGTAAGTGAATAACCCATACGGATAGCTCAATGATGTCTAAGTGAGATTGTTGTATTGAGGTTTGAGTAACAATGATAGCTCAATGATGACTATGACAGTGTGATAGTTAGGATCGAGATCGATCGGTTCAGTTTTGGTTAAAATTCGATGGATTCTATTAAAAATTGCAGACGTTAAATTTGGTTCAGTTCCAGTAAAAAATGTAGTTTTTAAATTCGGTTTGGTTCTAGTTAAGTTCGGTTCAATTCTTACATTTTTCGGTTCCTTATAAAAATTTACTATCCACATAAAATGGACAAATTTTACCTTCAGTTACATAAAAATATCAAATTTCAAATCATGAAAATAATTGTCAAAATTATGACCATTACATTATACATACATGATACCCCAATGTTCAAATATCACCAAAATATCCAAGTGTAAACATTAAATTTAAACATAACAAAAATATAAATGTTTAAAATAGACATTGACTACCAAGCAAAAAGTTTAATAGTTCCAAAGTACACAATCAATAGTAGATAATTGAAACTCAAAATAATATTCTTATACTATTAATGCATCATAACTAAAAAAAATACGCATCAATAAATTGACCGATAATATTAGTAATTTACTATGAACACATAACAACGTAATAAATAGAATATTAATTCCTTTTTAGGTGAACTCAAATAAAATATACAAATTACAAACAAACAATAAATATAAAGTACAATTCTCTAAAAAAAAGTAGACTAAAGTTGTAAATTAACAACTATTCGGATAACCGGATTAGTGTGATGCACAATATATGAGGTATATTATGCAAGATAAATATTCCTACAAGAATTTCCTGACTAGAACGTTGTCTGGCCACCTCCATTTGAGGTGCTTCCAAGTAGATTTTTTTGATAAGATTTTGTGAGTATGTATTACATGAAGTGTAGATTATATCCACCAAATGCAACATAATATTCAATACGGAAGTGAGTTAAATAAAATATTGAAAACCATTGCATTATATATATATATAGGGTTGGCCTTTGATCACTTGAAAATGGATGGATTGGATAAATTTCAATCACAAGAGACGGATTCAAAAAATGTGCAAATGTTTATCCTAGAAAGTGAATAGTTAATAATTAAAAGTGCACTAATAGGTGTTAATGTGCAAATGTACATCCAGAATCGGGCAAGTATCAGCATGCTGGACCCAGAACCACGACCGGTCACCTCAGCAATAAGGAGCTGCTCGGCAGCTTCGACACGCTTATCTGCCTGAGATGCGGCAGAAGAGTTCATTTCGGAAGACTGGTTGACCTTCCAGGCCTTCTCCTGCGCAGCTCGGAGTTGGACTGGCCTCGCCTCACGACGGTCCCGCATAGCTTGAGTATTCATTTGCTCGGGAGTAGGGGAGGACCTGAAACAAGAAGCAAGAACGTCTGAACCGGGCAACGCAAACATCAAAGGCACTCACCTCAGGGACTGGACCGCCCGGGCCAACAAGAGAAACGCGGATTAATCCAGGGATCATGGGCGGTACCTATCCCTGCCTCGGAGAGTGCCTGAATAGTCAAAAAACCCTTCAATTTCTTGACGCCGCTCAGCTTTAACTTGGCAACGGCCGTTTCCAGATCCGGCATTAGCTCTGGCTGTGCTATCTTCGGGGGATAGCCGTTCCACCGAACGGGAAGTTGCCCGCCGGGATAGCGGAGGAAGAAGAAGCGATTCTTCCAATCATGGATAGAGGTCGGGCCCCCCTCAAATAGCTTCAAGTGGGGACGTGCGGCCACACTCAGGAACCCATCTGAATTTTGGGGGGGGGCTTGAAAGAAGTAATGGAAGAGGTCCAGGCTCGGGACTAGTCCCTCCGACCGGCAGCGGACGATGAAAGCGGAGATGAGCCGATAGGAATTTGGCATAAGTTGGGTCGGGACCACGCCATAGCAGCGGAAGAAGTCAAGGTAAAACTGGTGAGGGGGGAAGCGCAGTCCGGCCTTAATAGAGTCCATGTGCACCATGACCATTCCCGGACGTCTCATGAACAGACTATCTGCGCCCCGCAGGCTGTAGACGAACGTCGGGGGAAGGAGGATCTGCAATTCTTTCAAGGCTCTGCGCGAGAAAGACGGGTGAATCCCGGAAACGTTTTGGATCATCACGATATGGCAGGAGACGTCCACCGGAATGCCTGCATCGAATACCCGCAGATCATCCCCCTCTTCGGCTTCTTCACCGGAATCATAATTGGCAGGACCTTCCACCTTTGCATCTCATTGGGCCACCGCCATGAAGACATTTTCGGGGACAACATTTACACCAGCGCTGCACCTAGAGGAACGGCCTCATCCGCCGCCACATGTCCCACCACTGTGGAGGCGCTGGATTGGTCAGAGCTGCTGGTCCCCTCTGAGGAACGGGACCTGGAGCCCGCAGCAGATGAGGAACCGATGGAAGAGTCAGAGGAAGACCCGGAACCGGGATCTGATTCGGAGGATATCTTTATTGAGCAGGCCATGGGAAGAAATCGTGAGGAACAAGGAGAGGAGGTAGAACCAGAGGATTACCTGAAGGTTTGGAAGACGAAGACGGGCTTGGAGGCCGACGATCACTTGCAGAAGAACGCTGGAACTCTTGACAAAGGAACAAAAGATTGGAAACCCTAATCCCTCCAATTATCCCGGTATTTATAGGGGGATACACCTTTCCGTTGACCAATCCTCAGATGACACGTGGCGAGGAGCGTACCCGTGGACACGTGTCGCGTAGAGACGGACATGCACGTAATGATTGCCTTCACATCGAAAGTTGTACCAGCCTGCGTAACCGCCGCCTAGAGCCCCGTGAACGGCGGCCAGGGAAGCAACCATCGCATCAGGAGTAGGAACGGCAGTCCGGGGCAGTACGGCGGCAGCAAATTACTTCTTTATGTCCCGCGCACGCTTGGAACATCAGAAGTGGGGGACTTGTGTTGGGTTAATGGCCCAATAAGGGCCGGCCATTAACCCTTAAGGATCACCTACGGACATCCTACTAAGGGCCCAAAGTCAAAGGGCCAGGAGACGTACATGGCCCATCACCAACCAGTACCAAGGCCCAAGGGGCAAGGGATGTGCATAGCCCATCACCGGCCAGTACCAAGGCCCAAGGGCCAAGGGACATGCGTAGCCCATCACCAGCTAGTACCAAGGCCAAAGGACCAGGAGACGTACGTGCTGCACTGACAGGAGGCACCCCAGCCTAGGGTCCCTACGAGGTGCTTGGGGACGGGCGTCCCACCCCTTATTAGGGGACCAAGGGCGGCTCAAGAATAAGTCAAGGGTAATAGCCTCTCAGTAGATCAAGTACATGAAGACGGGCGTGCCCTCTCCCATTGATGGGGAATCGAGATCCCAACAGGAGACAGTGGCCGAGCCCTTGGAGACGAACGTCCCCACCCGATGGCGGGAAACCAAGATTCTGGTGGGAAGCGCATTTAATGTAGAAGATTTGGTGATTGGGATCATGCCACCCACAGTCTGCCACGTCGATATGTCCAACTACCCATTGCCAGTATAAATAGTAGCATTTATTTCATTAAAAAGGGTTCGCAATTTAGTACTTTAGATCGCTATCAGTAATAACAGTTCGTAGCATAGCACAGTACGTTCGGCCCTTCGGCTTGTAACAGTTTGAGTTAGTAAACACATTTGTTTGACGTATTTCGTGCTTATTTCTCCATTTTACTTGCTCATCACCCATTCGAAACCCCCAGGTTACGTGTTGGGCCTGCGGGTTGAGGGAATAAACCTCAACAATACCTTATCTAAAGCTTATCTTTAAATAATTATTAAAAAATAATATATTAAATCAAATTCACGATACTCTAGAAATTTCAAAGGTTAAGGAAAAATGACTTAGACTTGAATAGTTAATCTATTTAATTTTTTTAATACTTGAATATATGTATTAAAATGTTATATATAAGGAAGACATTGATAATCCGTCGTTCATCTCAATCTAATATATATATATATATATATATATATATATATATATATATTAGATTATTGTAATCCTATTCAGAATAATGAAAAGGTGAGACTATTGTAAGAACACCGCTAAAAGGTTGGATTATTAGTTTCCATTTTCACTAAATCATAAATTCTTTGATCTTATAATATATCAAAGATATATATAAAATGCTATTGTAAGAACACCGCTAAAAGGTTGGATTATTAGTTTCCATTTTCACTAAATCATAAATTCTTTGATCTTATAATATATCAAAGATATATATATATATATATCTTAAAATGCTATAGTGATATCTTATAAGATCAAAGAATTTATGATTTAGTGAAAATGGAAACTAATAATCCAACCTTTTAGCGGTGTTCTTACAATAGTCTCACCTTTTCATTATTCATTATTATAATATATCAATATATATATATATATATATATATATATATATATTGATATATTATAAGATCAAAGAATTTATGATTTAGTGAAAATGGAAACTAATAATCCAACCTTTTAGCGGTGTTCTTACAATAGTCTCACCTTTTCATTATTCATGAATAATCCAACCTTTACACCCCATCTACATTCACTGGTCCCTGACCGATTTATAACTTGTTATTCTAAGTTATTTTCTCATCTAACAGAATTATTTGTTAATATTTTCAAATATAAGAAAAATACTTGGAATAACAGATCATAAATCGATTATAATTTGGATTTTGTTTTGGCATTATAATTTGTCCGCTGGCATTATAATTTGTCCGCTAAAATTATTCAATTGTAATTAAATTTATAAATTTAGTTAAGTTCAAAGTGTAATAAAATGAAGAGGTGAAGTTCTAAATGTTCTCCTGAAGATGAAAACTCAGAGAAAATGAAATGGTTCAATGATCACGTTAGTTTATCCACCGTAGGCCTTTAAACAGACAGGACCGGCCCTGCCCGTAGTTATAACTCCAATCAACTTCAAAGAGTGATCATAGTGGCACAAGATTCCTAAACCTCGAGCAAGGAGGAAGAGGCACATTATGAAGACAAAGAAGCCATTGTCAGCACTCAAACTCTCCATTCCTACTGAAGGGACCAACATTTCCAGCTTCCTGTTAGTCTCTTTTTTACTTATGTATTATCACTTCCACGTTCAATTTATTTGGAAGTGTCTCTTGAAAATGAGTGGAGTTGATTCTTGATCGGCAGGACCGCCAGTGGGACATTTCACGATGGAGACTTGCTTTTGAATCAGAAAGGTCTCAGATTAGCTTCCCTCGAGAATGAATCTCTGGCAAGTCTATCCTTCAATCACTGTCAAATAAATCTAGTAATTTTTAAGTTCTCTATGTTAAAACTGATAACTCCTTCAACATCTTGTCTTTTTAATATTCTGGAGCCATTTGTTCTATTTTCTCTTTGTTTTTATGCACTTCTTTCATTGAGATAAAAATGAAAAGAATGCTTCAAGAAATTTAGGGCAGGTGGCTAATTTTGAAGTAGCTAGGTTAAACGATTAAGATGATCATTTTTTGACTGTTGTTGTTTTCCAGCATTGTTACTGGCTGCTGCATTGGATAGTTGTTTTACTCGTATACTCTTATAACTTTCCAGCCTTCAGAAACAAAGGAGATTGACCTTCAGTTCTCTTTGGAAGATCTTGAGACAATCAAAGTAATTGGAAAGGGAAGTGGGGGTGTAGTTCAACTTGTTCGCCATAAATGGGTTGGCACTTTGTTTGCTTTGAAGGTCAGTGTATGCTTCATGAGTAATATGCACAAGTTTCCCTTATGATTCATCATTTTCATGAAATATATGGTTGTATGCGTGCCTTTGGCTGGGATTTGTATGGGCTCCTTGATTTGGTGTTCTTTAGTCTTTATAGTTTTGCTGATTATAAGTAACATTCACTGATGCACTTGTCCTTTTGGGTGGTGAAAATACTTAATAGCTCATCTGAAGTATGACTCTGAAAAATGTCACAAGACTCACAATTGGTTCTTCAAATTTGTGGTTTGTAGAATGTGCCTGTTTAGTAAGTTTTTTGTTGAATCACTTAATGAAATAGTCAAACAACACGACACTTCTACTGTGGTTCTATCTTAATTTAAATGTATTTTTTATTTACATTAAAAAATAATCTAAATATTTTTTTAGATATATTTAACAAAACCAAGCATTTGATCCACAATTATATCATCCTCAGCCATTTCAGGCCTTACCAATTGGGCTCTAAGTAAACATCCTGCCATTTAAGAAATATTGCATAATCTGTCATTCTGTCTTTTGTTTGTTGGTCTTAAGTTTTCGGTCTTTGCCTCGTAGGAGTCCTTTTTTATCATGTGATTGTTACTTAAATCTTAATTTTAAAATTTTATGTTTGGTTTATCTTAAAATGGTTACTCTTTTTTCTTTCCCTTCTTATACAGGTTATTCAAATGAATATACAAGAGGAAATTCGTAAACAAATTGTGCAAGAGCTGAAAATAAACAAAGCATCACAGTGTTCACATGTAGTGGTTTGCTATCACTCTTTCTATAACAATGGAGCTATTTCTTTGGTGTTTGAGTACATGGATCGCGGATCACTGGCAGATGTAGTAAGACAAGTTAAGACCATTCTCGAACCATATCTCGCAGTTGTTTGCAAGCAGGTTTGAATTGAATACTCAACATATGAAATTTTACATATTATGATATTAAAAAACTCTTGGCAATCTATATGATGATTTTCTCAACAGAATGTTCGTATTTTAGGTCTTGCAAGGGCTTGTCTACTTGCATCAGGAGAGACATGTAATCCACCGAGACATTAAACCTTCAAATCTGCTTGTGAATCACAAAGGAGAAGTTAAAATTACAGATTTCGGTGTGAGTGCAATGCTTGCCAACTCTGTGGGTCAAAGAGACACATTTGTCGGGACTTGCAACTACATGGCGGTGAGTATAGTATTGCATCATTAACCTATCGATAACACACAATATTTGTTGGTTCAGTACTTCTATGTTATCAATGTGTTTCAGCCTTGCTTGGTGAATTGCTTTTTGGAAAGCTTGTAACTTTGTCGATATGAATTAGCTGAAGTAACAGAAGACCCACTATAAAAAAAGTTACTTAGGACTTTTTGAGGAAAAGCTTTTGAAAAGATTCTTATTCCACATTATATACATTCAAACAGCGAACAACTACAGCACTACTTCCCTCTGTCTCATTTTAAAACTGCCACTTCCCTTTATTGTTTGTTTCACAATTATGTCCATATTTTTTAAGCACTGCTGATTACCACTTTTGAATTCTGCCCCTTTAAGATTTGACGCATGGACCCACTAACAAATTATCATGTCTCTGGGCTTTATGTCCCTACACCGAGTTTTGCTGTTCTCTGCCATATCTATTAGAAATTTAGAATCATGTGTGGTGCCAACACCACTAAACACTTGTAATACTTGCATCATTACTATTTCACCAAAATTCACCTACAATTCAATTCCAAGTGAACATATCATTCTACTGCTTGGAGCACATATTTATAACAGCATAATCGCAAAACAGATCGCATAAGAGGTGGCTAGCTGCATTAGGAAGTAGGAACTACCCAAAGTGTTCCAACCTGCAAAACTAAAGTATGACACAAACTATCCATAATTGGCTCAATTAAAAGTAAATTCTGCATGTTTGAAATTGTTCCATTTAACACCACCAGGTCGTATGAGATACTGGTGGGAAGGTCTTCTTGCTCAACCTTTAGCTTATTTATGGCGGTCATTTAAAATTATTTCCTGCATTTTTTTTAATTACCAACCTGCATAGTTGTAATGTCAAAAACACTTTATTAAAACTTTGCACTGAAATTCCATGAAAAGTTTTTTGAGTAGCTGAAAGCCTGCAAGCCTCAACAAGTTCATCCAAATTATGTGGTGCTTCCTGATATTGCAAATTTGCAGTGACCGCATCTCTGAAATCCCATACCTAATACATTAATGTCTGAGCTATTTGGAGGTTGTGGTTTTAAGAGAATATCAATGCCATCCTTTAGTTCATCCTCTAGAAAGTAGAAACTCAACATCATTCACACTAATATGTGGTCTTGCATGATCTTTCTAAACAGAATATAGTCTGGGCAATTTGGAGGACGCTTTTCGCATATTGCTGGCCAAGTGGCAATGTGTATTCAATCACTCTGTTTCTAAAAACATCTTTATTTACCGATTCATTTGGCTTGGTTTCTATTCCTAATGTAATGCCCTATTTTGTATGTGTTCCTACTAAAATGAATCTGTCCATTTTTTGGGGGCTCAAAGGGGCGTGGAAACGAATTAGAACTCGACTACAGTTCCTGCCTGTCCATTTTAACTTCCACACTGAACTGCTTCTCTATGAGTGAACAGAAAGATACCGATATTTCCATAAAACATTTCATTTTTTATAAATCATATTGAGGGCAAGCAATCACACAATGAAACACAACCTTTTGATAAGCTTTTTAATTTTACCAGTACAAAATGGCTCATTCTCTCCCGGCAATAATTTGTAATTTAGTGAAGTCCTTGAGAGAACAAGCCTCTTTTCATCTATATGAGCATGACCACACATATCTATGAAGGTTGGGTTATAAGGCATCAAATTGGGATCAAATGACATCCAAAACTGTAATCTTACCTTCCTATTTTCACCTGTTAATGCAAGCTTTATAGCATTGGAGTGAGCCTTTACAGAACCTTCCTTGAGAGTTGTTTTTAACATGCTCAGGGCCGTAGCCAATGATCGAATTGTTGTACAGCGTTTCAAACGAAGTATGCCAATTTCAATAGCATTGATCTCTTACTTTTTTCTGCCAACAATTACTGAAAAGTTCAAAGAAGAACCAAACAACAGAATGTTTTCAGCAAAGAAAATCTCTATTTCCAATATGTAAATTGACTGATAGGACTCTGGGAAGATTAGGACTGATAATAACAATGAAAATAATAATAATACTAGAAGAGTGAGTATAAATAGATGCTGAGGGTAGAATAGAGGGAGGTTGGAATTATTCTTTTGGCTTGGGACTTGGAGAGTTGGCACTCTTAAACTGCCTTTGTATTTCTCTCTCTATACTTGATGGCTTGGGACTTGGAGAGTTGGCACCCTGTTATACGACATCTCTTTTCTTCATCTTTGATTCTTGAAATCTCTGTGAAATTAGCTAGTTACCTATCATTGGTATCAGAGTGTCGTTCTGCCACCTGTCACTAGTTGCTACGCGGAACAATGAAAGAAAGACTGGAGAGTCTGGTACGCGACCACGAGGAGATCCGGAACAGTATAGAGGGGCTGTGGGACGATGGCGACAAGGTGCAAAGAGATATCGCCGAGTTGTGCGAACCGATTCCACAGCAGAACGCTCAACTAAGAACAGTAGAAAATCAGGAAGAATTGATCAAAAAGATGATCAAGAAGCTTTATTGATGAGAGATGTGATTCGTTGTTTACAGAAGGAATACAGTGGACATTCGAGATGCCCAATCACCTACCTAACCAAATTCAACTGAATACTTTCCTACCTTTTATTCCTCCCCTCCCCTTCTATTTATGCTACCTGTACAATTATTATTATTTCTATTATTAGTCTAATAGGCCTGATTCCTATCAATACTCCCCCCTAAACAACCACCTTGTCCTCAAGTTGGGTGATAGAAAACAGCCATGATCTTCCAATTCCACTTCATTCTTGCACCTCTCCCCTCCCAGTACTTGACTGATTGCTGGACCTTTAGCTTCGTTATTTCCATCTTCTTCCACATGTACTTCACAGCAGAATTACACAGATGCAATGACATGGTGGCATAATGCTCCTTGATGTTGTAAAGGATATAATATCCCAACATCTGCCTCTTTTGTTGTAACCTTGGCTTTTCTTCCAACATCTTTTCCAGGAACTTGATTCTTTCAGCTTCTGTTGCAACACAGAAACCAGAAATTTCCGGTTTTAAAGACAATTCCACGAGATACTCTATCTTGGGGACATCAATTACAGCAGCCTGAATAGTAAAACCCAGATTCACCTTGGTCCCACCCCACTGGTATTCTGAATTTAAGCCAATAACGTCACCATGATTCTTAAAATTGTCAACAGGACCAATCTCTTTTATTTCATCAACTTTTTCTTCAACACTGCTACCAAGAGCAAAATTATCAGCCCCTTTCAGTCCAAAATCTGAGGAGTCCAAGGATAGAAGCAAGACAGCCTTGTGTTCATTAGCATCCATTATGTTCTTTCGAACTGAATGTCCAATGCAGGCCAAATTTTCATCACAGTACCATCTGTCTTCCTCAGAAAGTACTCCTAAAGACTTCCTGACATTACCTCTGTATTTTCCAGGAATGACTTTTGTGAACAAGAATTCACTGTTCTCATTCGTTACATGATTTATTTTCCTATTATCCTTGCTTTTTCCATCCATATGTACGAGAGTTTGTTAAGTTCTCAAGTCTGTTAAGTTCTTCTTCAGCGATGTCTGCTTCCTCTCCAGCAAATCCACCCTATTCTCCAGCGAATCCACACTCTTCTCCATTCTTGCTCTGATACTAATGATAGAACACTGGTATAATTCAACTAAGAACAGTAGAGAATCAGGAAGAATTGATCAAGAAGATGATCAAGAAGCTTTATTGATGAGAGATGTGATTCGTTGTTTACAGAAGGAATACAGTGGACCATTCGAGATGCCCAATCTCCTAGCCTAGCCAAATTCAACTGAATACTTGCCTACCTTTTATTCCTCCCCTCCCCTTCTATTTATACTACCTGTACAATTATTATTATTTCTATTATTAGTCTAATAGGCTTGATTCCTATCACATGTATCTGATGTTTGTTAAAGATCTCACTCCTGGTCATTTCCCTGAGGCAATTATAGTTGGTGAAGTGGTTATGGGACTGCCATTAGTTTGTATAATTGTTCAAGATAGAAGTTTAGATTTGATGACAGGTTTCATATGGCAAGTGCTGGTCCACGGCTCATGGTTCTCAGGAAATGAGATAAGGATCGAGATTGTGACAGTGTGTTGAGAACAATTAGTAATAGGAGATGGATGGAGAGGTGCATTGATATTGTTGAAAGTCAGGACCAGTTTTTGATTCTTTAGGTTGAAGGGTACAAATTGGCACTTTCTGCAAATTGGGACTTCTCTGATTCCGGACTAAGATGGGATGGCGAATTTGATCTTGGTAGCATTGCTGAAAGAAAAATTCATGCAATATAGGCGTTTGGTGCTGTTAGCAATTTTAAGAATCGTGGCAATGTTTTTGGACTTATGTCAGAATACCTGATGTGTAGAATCAGTGTGAATCCGGACCCTACTATGCAGACTGCTGTTAATGGACTAGAAGCTGAAGCAAACTTCCAACCTTACAAAATGGTCTTAGGATCCAATGATCCAGAAGTGAATTGTTCCAGTAGTGTTCTTTTAGTGGAAACTAAGCTAGGTGAAGATGTTGGAAGTATAAAAGTGGAACTTTACTTGCTGGGAAAAATAGTTATGTCTTCTTATTCCTCACTTGGGCTAATAATGTTGGATGCATGCCCAGTCAGGGAAGCAAAGAGGTTTCAGGAATCCTTCTCCAAGTGGCTGTTTGGAAAACTGCTTACACGCACATCAGGAATTTGTTCCACTGTTTTTGTGGTGGAAGATCTAAAGAAAAATACTTGGCTTAAGGATGAATTGTTGGATGCTAACAAGAGGAATGGGTTTCTCCTTGGAAAATATTTGGAGGTAGTAGATACTTATGCTACAGATATTGATGATATAGAGCAGATTATGACCCACATGTCAGTTTGTAGAAATAGTGTGAATGTCATGGAGAACCTTAGTACTAGTGCAGCAATAACAGCTCTAGCCTCCGCCACTAATTCTTTGAGTGTTGTTATTGGTAAAGAATCTTGCCAATTTTACTATT